CTCTCTCTCTCTCTTTCAAGAATAAATAAACATTAAAAAAAAAAGTTAACGTAACTCTGAAACCAAAGCCCCAGACAGATAGCACTTAAAAAGATAGCACCAAAAAAAAAGGCTCCAAAGCAGTCTTGCTTAGTGAAATTAGTAGTAAAAAAATGCTAAATAAAATTTTAGTAAATATTCAATGGCATTTTAAGAGAATAATATATCAAGACCAAGGTTTGTTAGGAAGTTATGTAATCATTACATCAGAATATCGAAGATGAAAAGCTGTATGACCATCTCAATAAATCATCTGAAAATTCTTGCCATGTGCTGATTGCGATTTTTAGGAATTTAGGAATAGAATATTAACATAAAAATGTCAGAAGGCAATAGCCAGTATCATACTCGGTGATGAAACACTAGAACTGTTCCTGATAAAAAGAAGAACACGAATTGAACATCTTTAAAGCATTCAGTCTTGCAATCATGAACCTGGTCTCCATTTCTCAAAAATATTCTTTTAAATCTGTACAGTTTAGACATCTTCATGACAGTTTTGTATATTTCTTACTAAACTTGTTTTTAAATATTTAATAGTTTCTGTTATTTTGAATAGGTCTTTTTTCCTTTTAAGAGAAAACATTACACCTTGTTTAAAAACTTTGTTTTCATGATCTCAGTGTTTGTGGGTTTGAGCCCCTTGTCAGACTCTGTGCTGACAGCTCAGAGCCTGGAGTCTGCTTTGGATTCTAGGCCTCCCTCTCTCTCTCTGCTCCTCCCCTACTCCTGCTCTGTCTCTCTCTGTCTCTCAAAAATAAATGTTAAAAAAGAAAACAAAAACACTTTGTTCTCAGACACTGAAACCTGAGTCAGTGTTTTAACAAGTGTCCCAGCTGATTGTTTGATACAGTGGGCCGCATTTTATTGCATATTGCCTTCGGTGGTCCATGTTCTTTCTGTGGATATGTTAGATCACAGAGCCATAAATCCCGACTGCGTTCTCTTAGCAACCCGCAGAATCCTCTCAGTGGCTTGTACTGTAATGATCTGTTTTGGGCTTTGTCAGTGGTCCCCTAGCGATATTTATATGGCTGTAGTTCTCATCACTCTGGATGACGTGGTTATTCATTATCTTTCTTTGTCAGCTTTCTAGGGCCCCGTAATTTGGTCCTCTCTTGGAATTAAAACAAGGAAAACTGTCCTCTTAAGAAATTGATATATTTCTTTTTTTTTTTTTTAAGTTTACTTAGAGCACATGCATGCACAGGAGTTGCAGAAAGAGGAGTTGCAGAAAGAGAGAAAGAGGGAGGGAGAGAGAGAGAATCCTAAGCAGGCTCTGCACTGCCTGTGCAGAGCCCAACGCAGGGCTCCAACTCATGAACTGCGAGATCTTGACCTGAGCCCAAATCGAGAGTCGGACACTTAACCAACTAAGCCACCCCGGCGCCCCTTGATATATTTTGTATGATCAGATTTTCAGAATTTGCGCATTACGTTTTTCTTTTGTCTTACTGCTCTTGAGAAATTCAACAATTATGTAACTACTATGCCTATATATTAGTCCCCACGGTTACATGATTGATTTCTCCCTCTTTTTCTGGCTTCGGTTTTCTGTTATTATTTATGCTTATTTCTTTATTTCATTTTAACAGCCCTAAGTATTTTATAAGCCATCACACAGGCCATTTTGGTAGTCTTTCTGTGCATTTATTCATGGTAAATCAGTACAAACAAGCCTTCTTGAAAGCAGTCATACTGGAAAACAGAATTAATCCATTACACAGATGTACTTTTGAGAACTGTGTCCCAATGGCTGTTCAGAGTGAGTGAACTTGTTGCCTTGTTGGAAGAGATTTTTAGTGTTTTCAGTCTGAATACTAGAAAAGATCTTATTAGTACTAGCACTTGGAGTTCATTCTAAACGATTCTTTCTGACAATTTCCTTGGCTTCAGTTGCTTCTTAAGTCTGTTTCCAGTAACATACTAGAACTGTTACCAGTATTGATTTTCTGACTGTATCGGCTATACACTTAGTAAAAGTGGTCCCTAACGGAATAGGAATAGTTTATTACTACACGTCTTGGTTACATAGATCTTACTCGATATACTTTTGCTATTCTACTCTTTTAGGTACGCTGACGGCTGTGGAAAGTTTCCTGACTATACATTCTGGACCTGAGGTTAGTTTTTCTGTTTGTCAGGTGATTTTTATAGTTAACATTAAAAACATTTTGGAAATGATACATGCCTCCTAAAAAATATTTAGATTAATAAAATTTTATATCTATTTGTAATTTTTAGTATATGAAAGTTACTATGTTTAATTTTTAAAAAATATTTATTTAGTTTTGAAGAAGAGAGAGACACAGTGCAAGCTAGGGAGGGGTAGAGAGAGAGGGAGACACAGAATCCAAAGCAGGCTCCAGGCTCTGAGCCATCAGCACAGAGCCCGATGCGGGGCTTGAACCCATGGCCGTGAGATCATGACCTGAGCTGAAGTCAGGTGCTTAACCGACTGAGCCACCCAGGTGCCCCTACTGTGTTTAATTTTTAAAAGTATATGGTAGATTGCTGGGAATTACTTAGATCTAAAATAGAATTTTGTTAAAAACAACTGCATAGCCCATTGTGTTAGAACGAGTTACCAGCATCTGAACACCAAATTATATATTGTTGTTGTGCAATAAATGTTGTCAGCCAAGACGATTGTCACCTTAGTGCAAGTCAGGGCACTTCTATTATCTGCTTCACTTGGAGTTAGGTGCTGTTGTGGCCGTAAAAAAAATATATGATGTAATTACTGAATTTATAGTTTATTCGGGAACCTAAGACAGTTGTGTTTCTGGGAGGACCATGCTTTTTGATAGCACTTTTATTGCCAGGAGTGTCTGACCCAATTCTAGGTCTACACTTGAGGCTTCATAAATATTGTTGTCTTTAAAACACATTCGTTCAACAAACACTGTGTAGTGTGACACATAAATGAATCAGATGCAAACCTGTCCTTAAAGACATAAAAATTTAGCTTGAGGGGCGCCCGGGTGGCTCAGTCGGTTAAGTGTCCGACTTCAAGTTGGGTCATGATCTCGCCGTCTGTGAGTTTGAGCCCCACATGGGGCTCCGTGTTGACAGCTCAGAGCCTGGAGCCTGCTTCGGATTCTGTGTCTCCCTCTCTCTCTGCCCCTCCCCCACTTGCGCTCTGTCTCTCTCTCAAAATGAATAAACATTAAAAATTTAAAAAAAAATTAAAAGATGAGATGAAATACCATCGGATTCTGAGAACGGAGAGTAAATCTAGCTGGGAGGCCAGAGATAAGAACTTTTAGTTATTTATTTTTTATATTTGTTTTTCAATGTGTATTTATTTATTTTGCGAGCTACAGAGGCAGTATGAGAAGGGGAGGGGCAGAGGGAGAGAATCCCAAGCAGGTGCCACACGGTCAGCACAGAGCCCCACGCGGGGCTCGAGCTCGCAAACGTTGAGATCATGAGCCGAGCCGAAACCAAGAGTCAGATGCTTAACTGACTGAGCCAACCAGGCACCGCTGGAGATAAGAGCTTTTAGAGGCTGTGACATGGACTGAATTTCTAGAGGTCGATGCTGTGGAGCCTGGATGAGGGAGAGGGAGCAGTAGAGTCAGGACATGGCCGTGGGATGGTACAGGGGATGTCAGGTAGGATAATGGCTGCAGTCATCTGGATCTTGGGTTCAGATTAATACACGCGAAGAATGACATAACATGCTAGAATTCGTGGGTAAAGAGGATGTCCACAGGGTATCAGAATAAAGTGGGCCTGGGGAACTGGGAAGGCCTCCTAGAGGCCTCACCGAGTTCAGCCTTGAAGAGTCAGTAGCCTGTGGAAGGTCAGGAACAAGCATGAAGGACATGCCTGGATCTGTGGGGAGCGGGTGTGGAAACCCAACTCAACCGGCCGAAAGCGGCAGAACGAAACATGAATTTACGGGTTCGTGTAACCAAATGACTGCAAGTAAGTAGTGTGGCTGGATCTGGATGTGCCGATAGTTATTCTCCACCCCCCCCCCCCCCCCCCCCCCCCATATCCTCTGTTTCTGTCTCTCCCATCTCTTCTGGACTCGTCTGCGTAGGCTCTCAGCGTGCCTGAGAAGGTGCTGGCAGTCCTAGGTGCGCATTGTCTTAATGTTCCTGACTTCCGGGGAACAGCTAGCAGGGCTGATGTATCACATGACCGGGAAGTAGTGGGCCATCTGGCTGTTCTTGAGCCAGTCACCGTGACCGGTGTCACGAATAGTCAGATTGCCCAGGTGGTCACGGGCCCCCGGAGGGAGACCCTTGGAGTCAGTCTCATCTGTACCACATGGAACGACTTCCAGGTGGGAAGGAGGCTTTCCGAAGCCGAGGATTGCAGGGAGCTGCTGACTGGGAGAGTCGGACAAGAGGCTTCTTTTGATGGAGCAGTGGGAGATGGGATGGGAAAGGCGAGGTGGATGTGAAGAAGGCGTCTTCCCTTCCCGTGAGGAATACAGGAGCCCCTGAGCGGACGGTTCTTACAGAGTCGAGTCAGGAATCCCTCCTAGAACGTACAGATTTCGAAACTGGGTTGCCTGGGCTTGACTTCTGGCTCTGCCACTTACCAGTGACGTGCCCGTGGCCAAGCAGGCCGTACTTCCCCTCATCTCTAAAGGAGGCGATCATCGTATCTGCTCCATATGGTCGCTACGCGGGTTAACGTACTCAGCGAATGTACATCAGAGCCGTGGTTGGCAGCTGGCAAATCCCTCAACTAGTGTCAGTAAGTATTATTTTTATTAGTGTTGTTAGAACTTGAAGTTGGGGCTTCACTCAGGACAGCAGAGTTGAAGCATCCGTATCAGTGCAGCCCCCTCTCGCTCCCCCGAGGCAGAGTCCACAGCCTGACTTTTACAGGGACACCCCGAGTCACGAAGCTGTTCTTGTGCCCCTCCTTATGTTTCCCCTTGATAGAGGGCAATGAAGAGGTAACGTGGAAAGCCCTGTGCATTTGGGTATTATGAAATGTATTTTAAATTTATGTCATCAACCCAGAGCTTTCTTCTAAACTCAGACTTAAAACGTCCCATCACTAATTGACATCTACACTTGAACGTTTGATAGATACCGCAAACTGTACTTTTTTGTGCATAGCTGACCTCCCGCTTGTCCTTTCCAAATGGGCGCCAACCTCAGTTTATTTGTATCAATTTCAGCTGGTCGCGGTGCGTCCGTCCACGTATTCAGCTCAGATGGTAGGATCGTTGCTATCTCTGTCTCCTGAAACCCAAGTCCAGTCTGTCAGGAAACCCTGTTGATTCTGCCTTTGAGATCTGTCAGAATCCGATCACTTTTCACCATGTCTCTTCCTACGACCCTCTTCTGGCTACCACCTGTTCCTGTACAGTCCTTCCTCGACACAACATCCTGGCTGGTCCTTTCCAGACATAACCCGATCACGTACTCCTCAGCTCACAATTCTTTAGTGGCTCCTTACCGCATCCGGAGTGCAAGCCAAACGTCCTTCCGGTTAGTGATAACTGATCTGGCCCCGGTTAGTCTCCAACCTCCTCTCTTACAGAACGCCCTCATTCATTCTTCTTCATTTATTTGTTTTTTTTTTTTTTAAGTTTATTTATTTATTTTGAGAGAGACAGAGACAGCATGAGTGGGTGAGGGGCAGAGAGAGGGAGACAGAGAATCCCAAGCAGAGCCCCATGCAGGGCTTGAACTCACTAAACCGTGAGATCATGACCTGAGCTGAAACCAGGAATCTGACGTTCAACTGACTGAGCCACCCAGGCGCCCCCATATATCGTATTTTTTATTGAGTTTATCACTCTCCCTGGAATGTGAACACCACAACAAGAAGGATCCTTGTCTGTTAATTCACCAAGCACCTAGAACAGTGCTGGTCATGTGGTAGGAGCTCAGTAAGTGTTGTTTGGCTGACTTGAGTGGACGAGGCTAACTTAACCTTAATTCCAAAACTCTATGGGAGTAATTCCAGAATGTAAAAGTGCAGTCCGGTTTCAAAGGAATGTAGAGGGAAAAATCCTAAATAAAATACTAGAAGATTAAAAGCAGGAATACATAAGACAAAGAACGCATTTTGACCAAGTTAATTTTAGATACGAAATGTGAGGTTTAACATTATGTAGTCACTTTAATTCACTCCACCAACAGGTTAAAGGAGGACAGTCATAGGATCATCTCAATAAATAGAGAGACAGCATTTGATAAAATGTGTCTATTCATGATTAAAACTTGCAGCAAGCTAGGAGTGGAAGGGAAGATGATCTTTTTTTAAAAAGCTATACCAAATATGATACCCAGTGTTTAACATTGAAAACTTTTGCTCTGAGTTCAGGAATGACTCGGGAGCCCTCTGTCCTTACTCCAGCCAGATTCTAGCCAGAGCAGTAACACACGAAAAAAGAAAGAAACTGTATAGAGGTTAGAAAGGAAGAAACAAAACTATTTTCCGCAGATGATGTAATTGTGAATGTAGGAAATTCAAAGGAAATCTGCAGGTAGTATTACTAGAATTAGTAAATGAGTTTCATCACCTACTGGAAAAATTCTTTTTCTCACCTGATTGCCTTGGCTAGACTCTCCAGGCCAGGACACTGGGGAGCAGAAGTGGCGAGAACAGACATCCTTGTCTTGTTCCTGATCTTAGAAATCTTTCAGACTCTTGCCACTAAGTATGATATTAGCTGTGCGTTTTTATAGATGCCCTCTGTCAGGTTGAGGAAATTTCCTTCTTTTCCTGGTGTGTTGAGTGTTTTTTTTTTTTTTTTTAATTTTTTTTTCAACGTTTATTTATTTTTGAGACAGAGAGAGACAGAGCATGAACGGGGGAGGGTCAGAGAGAGGGAAACACAGAATCCGAAGCAGGCTCCAGGCTCTGAGCCATCAGCCCAGAGCCCGACGCGGGACTCGAACCCACGGACCGCGAGATCGTGACCTGGCTGAAGTCGGACGCTTAACCGACTGCGCCACCCAGGCGCCCCTGTTGAGTGTTTTTAACGTGAAGAGTTATATTTTATCAAATGCTTTTTCTGCATTTATTGAGACGATCATGTGGTTTTGTTTTTTATTATCTTCTTACACTGTATCACTTAAGATTGATTTTCCTATGTGGAACCAACCTTACATTGCCGGGGTAAATCCCACTTGATCATAGT